ACCTGAGGTGGGAATACAACAAACAGCAGCTTTCCCAGAGCCCAGCAGAGATCAGGGCTCTGTTGTGCCCATCCCTGGCTTTTATCCTGTCAAAAAGGTGGGAAAAGGGATCGAGGCCCTCCCTTTGGAGCTGAGGAATGAAGACACACTTAACTGAGCTTGCACTGTGGCAGATACAGACTGAGGCAAGGGCTCTGATTTTCCACCTGCCCTGACATGGGTTTAATGCAAACTGGGTACTGGGAGGGGATCTGGCTCTGGTGGAAGTTTTGGTGTCCAGTTTCAGAGCTGCCCTTGCTCTCTGCTCCGCTGCCAGGGGCCCTCAGATGTCCTGTGCCAGCAGCAGAGGTGTCTGGTGCTGCCATCCCTCCACAGGCACAGGCTGGGCGAAGATGAGGATGCAGGGGGTGAAGGACATTCCCAGCAGGGTCTCCTCAAAAGGGAAGCAGATGCATCAGAGCCCCTTAGCACTTAATTTTCTTGAGGTTTAAAAGACAAGTCTTTCTTACTCTGAGAGACAAGATACCTGTTTTATTGCTCTCTCCAGGGGAGACCTCATGGCTGTCTACAGCTTCCTCATGAGGGGAAGCAGAGGGACAGGCACTGATCTCTGCTCAGTGTGAGCAGTGACAGGACCCAAGGAATGGCTGGAGCTGTGTCAGGGGAGGTTTAGGTTGGATATAGGGACAAGGTTCTTCCCTCAGAGGGTGGTTGGGCACTGACCAGGCTCCCCAGGGCAGTGGGAACGGCCCCAAGGCTGCCAGAGCTCAAGGAGTTTCTGGACAAGGTTCTGAGGGACAGGGTGGGATTGTTGGGGTGTCTGTGCAGGGCCAGGAGTTGGACTTGGATGATCCTTGAGGGTCCCTTTCAACTCAGGATATTCCAAATCACTCAGAGGTTACCCAGGCTGTGAGGGTGACATAACCCTGCTCCCACTGCCACCAGAGCCCCGTGTCCCAGCTCCGTGTGCCCTCCCCCTCCAACCACACCCCTCTACCCACCTCCTGCCCCTCCAGCTCCCAGACCTGACTGGCACCACCAACCCCCTGTCCCGGGGAGCAATCCCAGCCCTGCCAAGGCAGCGATAAGGCTGCGGGGCTGTCCCACACTGCACCCACACAGGCACAGCCCGGCTCTGCTCCCCACACTGGGGTGCCCAGCACACCCCTCCCAGGGCTCCTGGCAGGCCGGGCAGTTCCCCGGGATCCAGGGTGGGGAGGGAAGATGCTCGGGAGCGCCCGCAGCTATTCAGTTACCGATGGTTGTGTTTGAAGAGCTTCCCTATCGCCCTTTTGTAAAAGCTTTGGCTTCCCCCCCATAGCCTCAACAGATGAAATCAAAGGGAAGTAGCTCTGCTTGGTGTAACCTGTTTTGATCGAGCAGATAAACGGGGGAACAAGTGTCTGACACAAACAAACAGACAGACAGGGGCAAGTCCCACCTCAGCGTTTTGTTGCATCAGATACCGAGGGCTCAGATAAACCACAAGAAGGGGGAGATCTCTCTCTGCCCCTGGGCTGCAAGACCAGGGGCGACACTCGGCAGTGCCAAGCCCCCACAGTTCCCATCAAAAAAATCAACCCAGAGCTTTGCTGGCATGGCTTTCATCAGTTTAAAGAGATGAAAAGAGCTCGGAGCCAAGCAGAAAACTCACTGCCTGTCATTACCCCCCATGGAGTCAGCGGGACTGGCGGCCTGGGAGCTCGAGCCACGCGTTAAACCGGGCTGGAATCCCGCAGGAAAAGGGAAAGGGGACCCCCAGACTGGAGGGGTCAGGCTGGGAGTGACCCCCACAGCTGCTGGGTAATGGGGGAAACATCCAACTCGCTCCCCACCGTGGGAGAAACTGGTGCCTGTTCCCCTCTTCCCCCTCACACACACCATAAAAAGGGCAGAGTGGAAGGAAAGGAAGGATTAAGATTCACAGGGTTGGCCAGGGTAGGTGATATTCCTTATAAATTATTATATTTTTTTTTCAATCGCAGCTTTATTTTTTTTTTTTAATGGCAAAGTTCCACTACGCTCGGAGAGGCTGGAATCAAACCAACCTGGGTTTTGGGAGGATATCTTACTAAAAAGCTTTGAAGCATTTTCTGTGAAATTGGGTGGATGGAAAAACAACCAAAAAAGAAAGAAAGAAAGAAAGAAAGAAAGAAAGAAGGAAAGAAAAAAAAAAAAGAAGCCTGATCTTTCCAAACCTCCTACGGAAGACGAACAATTTTAACAATTTTCTCAAAAAAGAAAACCCCCCACAATTATTTCAAACACTTTCAAAGTAAAACAATGCCCCAAATTACCCTTCTTTTTTCCCCCCTCTAAGCCTGGAATTGGCGGAGATATGAAAGGATGAGATTATCCTTCTGCTACTGACACTTCCCATCAGATCTTTAGGCATCAGGTTTAGATCAAGGGCTTGGTTTACAAAAGCATTTTGGCACCCAACTCCCTCCAGGATTTTTTTTTTTTTTATTATTTTTTTTGGTTTATTTTTTTTTTTAATTCTTCTTGGAGCCAGTCTGCATCTTTTGGTGATGAAAGGCCTGTGGATATCTGCACCTCGGAGGGTTTCTAGTCTTTGTAAGGTATAATATTGTTAGTTTGGGAACAGATCTCTCCTTTGGGGGTAACGAGGTTCCCGGAGAGTCGTGGTGTAATTCAGTAGGAAATGGGTCTTCAATTAATGAGTCATCAGAAAACAGCTTTTCCCCACATGAAGCCGGTAACCAAAACACTAAACCATCAGGTGCTGCAGTAAATATTCCTCTAACGACGCGCACGGGGGGGGGGGGGNGGGAGGGGTTCCCTTCTCTCATTACTCTTCCCCCCCCACAAGGCCTCACCGTGGAGTTTACAATTTAATTTTCTGCATTTGTAATCTGTAGCCCTTGTGTACATAATGTCTAATGAAAAAGGCCTTTTTTAAATTAACGTGGTATTTGGGGGGGGGAGGGAAAAAAAAAAACCACCACGAGGAGGTTTTGGGTGAAGCGTCAGGGCTCGGTGTGCCGGGTTACATCACCTGGACCACAGCGTGCCAAGGTGTCACCCTGCCCTGGGCACCCCCGGAGGGTCCCACGGGGGGTCACAGAGGGGGACACCCCGCGGGAGGGGTCGTGGCTGGTGCCGGACACCCCCACGAGCATCTCCCGCCCCTCCTCTGTGTCCCCTCCAGCGATCCCCGGAGAACCCGAAGGGACCGAACAGATCAGCGGCAGCAGAAAAAAAAGAGCGATTTCAACAGGTTTCTTTTTTTTGTGCCGCCCTCCGCAAATGAAGGTGATTTACTCGTCCTGATTTCCCTGCTTGATTGGAAGGCTCCTAGAGCACGGCTGATGCTGCCGCGAACGTTTTTTGTTATTTTAAAACAAATTGACTTCGCTTCTGCGCTTTCTTTCCTCAATTACCACTAGAAAGAGGTGCTGCAGCTCGCACTAATGGCTGTCTGGGGAGCTTACGCTTGGAAAAAACCCATATTTTATCCAACCAAAGGCAGCGCCAGCTTCTGGTTTAACACTATTGACTCCAAGAGCAGCAGCAGCCAGAATATCCCACTCCATTTAATAACCAGAATCAAACACCCGGCTTCCCTAATCTTGATTAACACTGCTATCCATCAACTCCGTGTGCCAAACATCTCAGGAGGCTCCAGCTCCCGATTTAAGGCCCTGTAACAGCCACCAGGGGTTTTTTTTTTGTTTGTTTTTGGAAGGGCCTGGGAGGTTTGGGATGTGTTTGTTGCTCAGCAGCTTGGAAACATTTATCTCAAAAACCAACTTGGGGTGATCTGAGAGCCCCGAGCAGAAGCTGAGCTGACCAAAGTCAATCAGAGTTCATGGACGTGAATAGAACCAGATTTTATCTCTGCCTTAGATTGTGTCAAATAACCCAGCTTAATAGCCACGAGCACACTGAGGATTTCTAAATAAAGGGGTGGGTTTAGTCCCTTTAAAACATGCTTAGAGTTCTCTGGGTTAACCAAAATCTCATTTTTTTCTACATTATCTCAAATTATGTAAGTAAAAGAGAAACAGTAAAATCGTTCCACACAAAGTTTTAACCTCTTGCACATCCCCCTGCCCCAAGCTTAGGGCTAGAGAATAATTGATTCTTCTGCATTTTCTCTACCAGTTTCGGTTTTCAAAGGTTTTATTTCTAAGTTTATAGCACAGCTTTTAATAATCTTGGTTTGCTATACCTAGTGGCCGTTAAAATTATTTCTTATTGCTGCTCACCTGCCTGAAAAGGGACGTGACCATGAGCCTTTGTGAAATTACGGGTCCAAGTCTTGCATTCAAAGCTCCCTGCAGGCAGTGGGAGGGAGAACTGATGGCAGAAACTGATTTTTTCCTGGTGTCTATCACAGCTTTTGCTTGGTAACCTGGCGGAAATCAGCGCTAGCACCTTTAAAACATCACCCTGTTCCTCAGCTTTCCATATTCAAGGAACGCCGAGGCTTCCAGCCACTGAGCAGCGAGAGCCTGCGCAGCATCAGGAGCGGAGGAGGTGAGGGACCCAATCGTGCCTCAAGACGCAGAGCAATGCCTTTCTTCTGGAACTACCTAACTGGATTTGATTATTCCCAAAGTCCCTCCCATTTTTCTACACACACACACACACACACACGGCCAAAGAAAGGCTTGGTTTTGCCGGAGGAACCGTCCCTGCCGCGGTTCCCGGTGGGATGGGAAGAGCTGCCTGCGCTACACGGAGCGGGACCGAGACCGTTCCAGTGCCATCATTCCTTTGGCAAGGCGGGAGCACATTTCCCTGCTGAAGCCACAGAGGACATTAAGGGAGAGGATCTTGCATGCTGATCAAGATAGCAGCGCAATCCTAGCCCAGAGCACATTCCTGATCCACTCCCGGGCTGGCTGGAAGAGCGCAGTGGAGCAGCAACAGGAGCCGAGCAGAGCAGAAACTTCCAGCACCCACACTCCCCTTTGCTTTCCCTTGCTTCCCCCTCCCCTCCCTGTGTCCCCCACATCCCAGAGCCTCCTTACCTGGCTCCACCTGGTCCGGTTCGTGCCGGGTGTCTGTGGAATCTGCCGCATCCCCGCTCATCTTGATCTCTGCAAAAGGAGGCACAACTGATTTTAATAACAGGTCACAGTCCCAGGCAACAGGCACATGTGGCTTCCACTAAACAGCACAAATGAATGTGTAATTATAATAAACCATCAGACTTTCAAATTTCTGATTCCTCAACATACAGGCACTAGAATATTCATCAGCTCCGAGGATGCACTTTCCCTCCTGTTGCTCTTTGCATCCCCCTCACTCCTTCTCCCCCTCCCCACCTTGCTGTGGTGCTCCCACCCTTCACCCACAGGACGAGGGGGCGATTCAGCACAGAGAGTCCCCCCCAGCCCCACTGGGCTCTCCCCTGAGCTTCCCAAACCTGCTGGGGTGGTGTCCCTTTGACACCCTCCTCCACCACACCTGCATTGGCAGGGGATCCCTCCCAGCTCTCCCCTCCTCTCCCAGATCCTTTCCTCGTCCCTCAAGATGGCCCATCAAACTCAACTCGTTTTCCCCACTCCATCTGATCCCTATTTGCCCACTGTTTTCCCTGTTTTCTCCCACACCCCTCACAAGCCACCGAGAAGCTGCTTTGCTCCAAAGCATCATCCCCAACCCAGGAGCACAAAGAGTCCTTTCCCATCAAGCTCCTGAATATTCCCCCCCATCCTTATCGAGGCCAACGAATTTGTCATTTACCCTTGAAGTGATGGCTGCCACCACACCCGGGGCCACTTTCTCCTTCGGGCACGGCTGAAAGAAAAGGTGGGAATGGTCAACTCCACCCTGGATTGCTCATCTCCTCCTTAAAAGAGGCCAAGGACACAGCGGTGAAAGAAGGGAGAATATCTATTCAAATTCAGATGGACACCCTCTCGGCTCTTACACCTTTTGCACAGGAATTTTAACCGTTTCCCGACTAGATGGGGGTGAAAAAGAGAGAGATAATTTTTTTTTTTATCAAGACCCGAGTGATTTGCATGTTCTTCCTGCAGCCAATCCCGGCCACAGGCTCATCCCATTTGCATCGGGGAATAACAACAGCGGGGAAGCCGGGCCAGTGTTTGCTGGGGGTTTTTTTGGGGTAGAGAAGGCAGGTGGAAGCCATCTAAAAGCATCATGCAAACCTTTTCCTCTTCCCTATATCCACCTTTTATTGCTTCCAAACGGCCAGAAGGATTAGAAGAACCCTGTGGGGTTTTACACCCATTTCCCTCTGTTGCTCACACTAAAACAGGCAGAGCTTTGTGTGTGTTCAGGTTCTGTTCTCCCCTATTTAAACAGCAGATAATCTGCTTTTTGGCCAAGATTTAATATATTTGATCAAGTTAATGTTTGGAACTTTCTTCAGTAAAGGAATAAAGGTAGGAAGAAAAAAAAAAAATCAGGATTTTATACCAGAGCACAGAAACTTTCACATACTTCAGAAACTTCCTTCCCTCAAATTATATTAAGGAGTGAGGGGAAAAAGGAGAGAGAGAGAGAAAAAAGTTGTGGGATTTTTTTTTTCCCCTTCAAATAAACCCTCTGCAATTAAGACATGAATGTTTAGTGGGGCTTCTAAAGCATTTCTACTGCAGGAAGAGTAATTACCATCAGCTATAAACATCTTCTTGTCTTGTAACACTGCCAAGGGACCCTAACTTAGGCAATCTACAAAGCACAAAGTTTTGCTGCCTGCCAAAAAGTATCTTAAAAAAAAATAAGAGGCAAGTTCTCATAAAATAGAGGAAGAAAAATCTAAAAGCCTGCAGAAGTTTGGTGCTTGCTTTGGTGAGAAAGCCTGAAAGCTTGCAAAAAAAAAAAAAAAAACAAAAAACCAACCAAAATACATGTTAGTGAAAGGAAATATTTAAACCCCAAGATCGAGGAGCCCTGAATGGGCACAGAGCAAGAACTGGAACAGCTCAGGCAGAGCTGAGGGAGGGATGAAAAAGCAAAGCAGGAGAAGCTCTGTCCCTCCTGCAGGAGTAACCCCCCACCCCCTCGGCCATTCCGACCTGGGGTGGGTGGGGAGGGAAGGAGGAATTGCTGCTGCAACTCGATTCCATGTGGCATGTTATCCATCAGTGGAATCCCCTCCTCCCGGAGCCGGGAGATAAGGAGATGCCCTGTGATCCTCGTGGAAACAGCACGAGGGTTTTATGTGCACCAAAATTCAAATTCCCGCTGTAAACGTGCACAAGGTATTGCTGTTTAAATATCTTGTGGGGGGAAAAAAAAAACAAACACAAGCAAACAAAAAAAACACAACCAAAAAACACCAGGAAGAAAAGGAAAATCTTTTTTTATCAAAGCCTACTGATCTGAGAGGTTTGGGGCTGGCCAGCTTTTGTATCCCTGTGGATCATCCTCCAATGATCCTTAAGAAGAAGCAGCAGACATACAGAGGAATCACTTTCTAATATGACTTAAGCCAACACCTTTTTATTGACATTTAAGAGTCTCCCACTACAACCAGGACAGAGTGATGCAAATCTAGATTTGACCTCTGCTCCATCCAAAAAAAAAGTCCCTCAAAGACAAGGCAGGCTGTGAGACTGAGTCCAGCTACACACAGCTTTGCCAGGTTAGCAACACACAGAGAATAAGCAGGCTAGGAAAAAAAAAACAACAAACCAAACCTCTCTGGGAAAAATAACACAACTTAGGACTGCCTAATCCTAAACCACAGCCCTATTAGGAGCCGCCACTGCGGCCTGGGCCATATTAAAAATGTGCTGCTGCACCTCAGCTCCCAAACATACCTGGAGTAGGGGTAGCTGGTTTGTTCACCCAGACCAAAGGAGCTCTACCAGTGCAGACACTTCTCTGGGGATATATCTGCATCTGTATTTTTGCTGAAACAAATGGTGTCAGCAAATAAAGCCTTTCCCAAGCCCTTGTTCCCCGTAGCTGTTCAGACATGGGCAAGGGTAAACCAGCCTGATGACTTTAAACATGGAATCCAGTGGTGGAGGAGGGGGACCATCACCTGGAGTCTGCTGAGTCTTTTGTGCTTTAGGAGCCTGAGCCCCTCTGGAAGCTGCAGGAAAGGGGAAATATCCAAAATGCCTGGGGAGGAGGTGGTGGTACCCACCAGGGAATTCTCTCAGCAGGGAGGAGGGTGTGCAGAGCCGGAGCAGCCCACCCTCACCTGGCACTCTGTGTCTTCCCCCAGAATCATTAAGGTTGGAAAAGCCCAGGGGAAAAAAAATGGAGCACACCTCTGCAAGCAGCTTGTTACAAAGGGACCCCGAGGTTTTTGGGGACCCCAGAATTGAATAGACTGAACTGCCTTTGCACAAGGGTGAAAAAACCCCCTCCCACCTCTGTTGGGCTCCCTCCCTGCACAGAAGGTGGTTAAAGCTTCGGCCCTTCTGACCGACAGCACGGGGGGATGGAACCCAATCCTGTGCAGCTCCTGGCCAAACCCACCCTGGGAGAGATGCCACTGGCTCTGACAGAGGGTACAGTATCGACCTGGAGAATCTTTTCATGAGGAAAGAGTCACCCACAAGCCCAGAGCCTGCGGGGCAGTGTCCCCAAGAGACCCCTCACAGCAGCACGGGAGCTCAGGCGAGCTGGGGCTCCCAGCCCAGCCCAGCCCACGAGCCTCCCGCAGCCTCTCCTCATGGCCAGGGCCCCCAACTGCCCCCACAGGGAGCCAGCCCGCTCAGGGGGGTGCTGGCTGGCCATGGAGGGGCTGTGGGCATCCCAGAGCTCTGGAGAGGTTGGAAACAGCCACGGAGCAGAGGCTTTGGCCACCTCTGCCAGCCTGACCTGTGTCAGGGGGTGGCATTGCTGCACCATCTGCCTTGCCCTCGGGCCTGTCTGCGAGCCCACAGGCAGGCAGGGCTTGTTGAGGGGCTACAGGCTCTGAGCACAGACCCTCCCCAGCTCTCCCTGCACAGCAGGACTCCCAAAATCCACAGCATGCCAACAGGCATCCAAGGGAACAAGCCCTGGACTCCCAACACTCAGAGCGTGCCAATAGGCATCCAAGGGAATGAGCCCTGGACAGACTGATGGGTGAACCCTCCTCATCCCTCCAAACCAGGGGCTAACAGAGCCTTTTGTGCTGCACAAAGCACCAGACACAGGTCACTAGCACATGGCTTCTGCACCCCAACACCCTCCTGCCTGCCCCTGCCACAGGCAGGGCTGTCGGGATCTGGCTGCTCCCACCCCAGCCTTGCCCTCAGCTCCGTGTGCCCAGGGATGTGGTCCTTCCCCTCGAGCTCAGGGGCTTGAGCGGAGGGCAGAAGCTCTGCCAGGGTGAGCTGGAGCTCAGCACAGCTCCGAGGGACTTGGCAGGGATCGCCCTGGTTCCCCAGCTAACTGCAGAGCAAGGTCTGCTCAGAGACAATGTGATACAATCTCTGGATCAGACCCCCTGGAAGGAGTCTCTCTGAGTATCCCTGTTCATTCATTCCTCACCCAACCCAGCCTCCCACAGCTCTCTCCTCATTCATTTCTCCCTCCTTTTCCCTCTTTGCTGTTAACTTTTCTCCTTCCAACCCGTGTCCCATCTCACACACACACAACCCCACACCCACCCCTTGCTGCATCCCTCCGTGAATTCACCCCCTCTCACTCCTCCCAGCTCTATCCCAATGGCTGGACCCACAGGTCCCACCAAACCCTCCTTTCCCAGGTACCCGAGACATTTCCAAGCTCTGCTCCCGGCCCCACGTCGGGGCTGGCAGCGGGAGCGCTGCGCCCACACTGTGGGCATGGCTTGGCAGCCCCCTAAACAAACCAGGGCAGCATCCATCCCCGGGTAGGAATGTGGGCACTTCACCAGCCACTCCAGCGGGAGAAAACAGGAGGGAAAGCAGGGAGGAAAGGTCGCGGGAATCAGAGCAGCCCCATTTCCTGCCCGAGCCCACGGTCCCGGCGACACGGCGAGCTCCAGCCCGATCCTTCCTCAAGCGCCCTTTACCTGCGTGCACAGACTCCAGGTTCACCATCCTGCTGGCGGAGGGAAATCCGCGGTGTGCCCAGCCTCCTGCCGTCAGCCCCAGGTTGCCAGGGGCTGCCAGTTTGCCCTCCCTCCCTTGCCACCCGCTGCCTCTCGAACCGGCCGTGGGTCCGCTCCCGAAGGGACCTAGAGCTCCATTGCCTGTTGCCATGCAGGGCCAGGTGAGCATGCGGCGCGGTGCCACGCCTCGCCCCACCTCCGGCTCCCTCGGGTGCCCTGACACCCAGCAGCTTGGCGTCAGGCCCATGCAAAAGCGCCCATTTGCATATTAGTAACTCGGGAATGGATGGATGAGTCCCTGCAGCGCTGCCAGGGCGTGGGGTGGGGTGGGAAGGAGGGAGAGGAAAGGAAGGAAAGGCGGGTTGGGTTTGCCCGCCCTCGGCTGCGCGGATGCACCCGCAGCACCTGCCTGCTGGGCTGAGAGCGGGGGGCTCCGCCGGCTGCCCCGCATCCCGGTTGTCCTCGTGGATGAGCTTTTGGCTCTGCCCTTTGCCGTGCACAGGTAGGAGAGGCCAAGGCATCGAGCCAGGCTGGGCAGCAGCAGCAGCACCCCGGAGGGAAGGTGGTGGAGCTGTGGGAGCAGCCCCTCCGGCCAGCAGCCCTTGCGCTTCATTTTGGCCGCTGATAACCCTGGGGTGTGCTCAGGGGGATCCAGCCTGTGCATCCCCTCAGTCTGCCTTGAACCTCAGGGATGCCACATGGGACAACCAGAAAAGGAAAGTTAAAAGCAGAAAGGGAACCTGCCTCTCCAAAGATACAAGGCAGGGTTAGGATTAGCACATGGAGACTCCCCTCTCCTGACACGGGCTCTCCAGGGTACATCTGTGTCCCCAAGAAGAGGAGAGAATAGCAGACAGCTCTTCCTCCTTATCCACTTTGTTTAAAGCTGCAGTATTTACCAACTTCCAGGGAAGACAGATAAAAAAAAGACTCCCTAACGTTGGCTGCTTCTGTTGGAAGCTGCCAGAGGCCAGAGCCCCAGCTCTGTGCTGTGAAAGGGACCGAGTGACCCCGACGGCCCCAGGTGTCACCATGTGCCACCTTGATGACCCCACCACCCCCGGAGCAGCAGGACATCCCCGTGACAGCCCGGACATCCCCGTGACAGCCCCGGCGCTGCCTCAGCCCCCTCCTGAAAGCGTTAACGCTCAATCGGTAGCTGCCAGGTACAAGCTATCTCTCATCTCTCCCTGGGTAATTCACGTTCCAGGGCTCCCGGCTTTCCCACATACTGCTCTCCCTCCCTGGAAAGACAGGTTTCTCCGAAGAGATGGGTGGGCGGGCAGGATCTCCAGCCTCACCTCCAACCCAGTCCGGAGTTCGGGGGCTGGAGCTGCCCTTGGAGTGCGTGGCCAGGGACCTCCATCCTCGGGAGAGGAAAGGGTGGATGAGTTCAGTGGAACAAGGAAAAAGTGGAGGGAGGTCGGGGGAAGAGGTGGAAGGGGGGGAAGTTCCCGGGTCAGACTGACATTTTCAGGACTGGAGGTTTCTGCAGCCGCCGCAGCGCTGCTCCAGGAAGCAGCGAGGTGACACGGGGCGCTTGGCACAGGCAGCTCCCGTGGAGCTGCTGGAGGGGCTGGACTCCTGCCACCGATCCCCAGCTCCGGCCATTCAGGCCCCGAGCCCTGGGGCGTTCCAGGGCAGCTCCTGCTCCGTTTTCTAGTGTTTTTGTCAGGGTTTTCCCCATCCCGGAGACCGACGCGATCAGGTGTCTTCACTGCGTCAAACACGAGCCCGCCGGTGGCTCCCGGCCAGCCTGAAAGGTTGGGGAACACGAGAGCTCTCCTTCCCCCACATCAGAGCACATTTTGGACACAGATCAGGAGTTTTACCCGACAGTGGGCTTTTCTCTCCGCTTTTCCTGGTGCTTTTCCATCCTCCAGAGCCGAGCAGCCTGTCCTGGAGCCCCAGGAAGGCAGATTCTCCCGGGTGGCATCTCCAGCTGGACAGGAATCCTGGGCATCCTCCGGGCAGGGAAGCTGTCCCGGCCACGGACAGGGCACCAGTGCCCTCTCCTGGCCCCAAACAAAGCTGCGAATGACTTTTTCTGGCGATTATTTTGTGGTCAATGAAACAGCGGGGGCAAGTAGTATTTTGGTGGTTTTCTCCCCAAACAGCCATGGGAGCAAAGCCCATCACCTGAATACCCTGGGCTTTGAGGATGTGCTGTGCAGGGAAGAGAGAATGCACCCTGCTTATTAAAAATAGGGAGGGATCACAGCATCAGCACTTGAAATAAGACCCCCTTCACCAGGCAAAGGCAGATTTGCTTTAACCCCACCTGAGATGATCACTCCTGGATGCCAGCAGACACGCTGCTCTTCTGTTCCGTGGCCATCAATGAATGACCCTCCTGCTCCCATCCTCACTGTGCTCCTCCAGCCCTGCTGCCAATGTTTATTCCCCTCTTGGGGGAAGATAAGCCCTGCAGATAGCACTTGATTTATGGGCTGTGGCCTTTGGACTGGAAGCACCAGCTGCAGAGAGACGTTACAAAATCCCCCACGTGCTCGTGGCCGAATGCACCGGGGAGGTTTCCTGTCTCCACCTGCATCAGCTGCTCTCCGGGGTGTTATTTAAGTGTATCAAGGGCTTTTCTCGGGAAAAGCAAATGAGCTTCAGTTGTGTTCTCGCAGGGCTGGGGAGGGCGCGGTCCTGCAGGATGTGCGGCTGGACCACGAGCATCCCTGTCCCGGGCATCGCCGTGCTCCGCCAGCACCCACTGGTGGAGGCCGGGGATCCTGCACCAGGTTCCGGGTACCCCGGAGCCTCCCGGCTACAAAACCAGCACATTGGAGCCCGCGGGGATCTGACCCGCTGCTCCTTATGTCCGTCCCAGCATCCCTGCCCAGCAGGGAGCAGCGGGAATGGGCTACACAGGACCGCCCGTAATCCTCTCCCACCCTCTCCCATCCCACCTGCCCCACAGCTGGGTTTAACTCAGCAACAGGGACAAATCCCACGGGGTCCTGCAGACCCAGGGACAAATCCCTGGCAGTGCTGACCACGTCAGGGAAGCAGAAATAACTTCACCTTCCCCAGCAACCACAGGAGAGGGTAAATTGCCTCGGTGGGTGAAGAGGAGAAGGGCTGAAATCCTCGTCCCATCCCTGCATTCTCCACACTAGAGGGAATCAGTGCTCCACATTTCTGCCTCCAGCCCCTGAGAGCTCTGAGAGGGCCCAAAATTGCCTCCCTGCCCTCCCCTCAGCTGTGCCTGCAGAGGGATTCACAAGGAACACCCTCTGGAGGCTGCAGGACCCAGAGGAGCCTCCAGCCTGTCCCCCCATGGGACCACGTGGAGAGAGGAGCAGGAACCAGCCCTTGCAACCCCGGGACCTGCTTCTACTGCTGCTCTTTTAGTCACCAGAGCTCAACTCAAAGCTCCCACAGTTGCTTGGGATGAGTCAAACCTGTCTCCCCATGGAGAAGCTGAAAGCATGGAATGGTTGAGGTGCAGGATCACGTTGGTTGAGTGTCAAAAATTCCTGGTCACGCTGAGGGCAGGATGTTCTCCCCCCATCCATGGGTCTGCATGAGGTACAGGTTTGAGACTTACCCATTCTTAATCAAGAACCCAAAGTGGATGGGACAAACCCACAGAGAGAAACTTTCAGGCCAAGGATGCTTTAAAAAAAATCAGTTTATTTTACCTTACAAATGATAAATAATTTGTTTTAAAAAAACAAAAAAATCATTTCAAGTGTGTTTTACTTCATGTTCCAATATTAAAATACCTTTCCCTTCTCCCCCCCTTAAGTGATCGATACAAAAATAATTGTGACCAAATTATTTTTTCTTTTTTTTGTCAAAAATTCCTGTGTTTTAGGCAAAAAGGCACGTTGTGAAGGCTTTTCACCAGGAGGCACAGGGGGTCCCAAAGACCCCAAGAGCTTCTTTCTCCTCCCTCCTTGTTCTAACTTGAGGCAGCACTGCTACAGTGCTTTTTGTCTGATCCCTCCAGGTTTATACCAGGGCCAAGGTCAGCTACAGTGTCATCCCTCTTTAACATGGGGGGGAAATCAAGGCACAGCAAAGCAGTACAATTATTTAAGAGCTTCTTGTGAATAGCTGGCAGAGTAGGACATAAAACTGGATGTAGATGTAGGATGTTGTCTCCTTCAAAACCCACCTGGGATCATCCTCTCCCCCTGGAACCACAGAGTTAGGATGGTAGTCAGGAGTCACAGGACCAGCACAAAAAGTTGGGCCTTCACTAGTCTAAACAGGGATTAATTAGAGCCCTAATTACCAGCCCTTTAAGGGGCACAAGTCATTGCTGGGATATATCCCCCCATGAAATCTCTGGCCACGGGAAGGATACAACAGCCAGCAGGGCACTGGAGAAAGCTACAGGCAGCTCTTGCTTTGGGTGGGCTTCGTACCTTCCTTGCTCAGGGGATGTGGTCCCAAAAATCAGCTGTTTTCCCCCTGGGAGGTGGTGAAGCCAGCGAAGGGGGTTCTTCAGTGGCAGAGATGTTTGACAACCCGGGTCAGCAAGGCCATTTCCCTCCCTGCCCTGACCACGCAGCTCGAGGCTGGTGGCTGATCAGAGCTGCCCCTTTCACTCCAGAGCAGGGCAACACACCCCCTTCCCAGTGCTTCACCCCCAAAAACCTGCCTCCCCTGCTCCCAGGGAGCTGGATTTCTGGCAGCTGGCAGGAGGGCATCACACACAGCGAGCTGGGCCCGCCTGTCCCAGGATGAGGCAGCGGCAGGTGGGGAGGGAGTCACAGGAGGCCGGAAGGAAAGGCACACACACAGAGCTCTCCTGGCACAAGGCACCGCTGTGAACAGCATTCCTTCTTCGGAGCAGCCAGCTCCAGGAGCCCTTGGCGTCGTGAAGAGCGGCAGGAGACGAGCTGCCCCTCGGAAAAGTCCCGGGAAGCTCCGCTAAGTCTCCTCATCCCAGAGGCAGAGCTGCTTCTGCGGCACGTAGTAGTCGAAGGTGTAGCCCTTCTGGCAGCTGCGGATGCCACACTTGTAGGAGGAGACCTTGCCCCCGGCGTCCCGGCTCTTGCAGTACTTGAGCATGCAGGGGTACCACTCGATGCTCAGCGAGTAGCTGCAGATGCAGGGCTTCCAACGGTCCGGGCACAGCCGGCAGCGCTGCAGCTCCGGCAGGTCCGAGCCCTGCGGCAGCACCTCGAACATGGAGCCGTCCACCCCTGTGGGAGAGAGCAGGGACACTGCTCAGGGTCACTCCAGAGAGCAGGGACACTGCTCAGGGTCACTCCAGAGAGCAGGGACACTGCTCAGGGTCACTCCAGAGAGCAGGGACACTGCTCAGGGTCACTCCAGAGAGCAGGGATGCTGCTCAGCATCATTCAAGAGAGCAGGGACACCACTCAGGGTCACTCACGATCACTCAAGAGAGTAGAAACATCATTCAAGAAAGGCCAGACCACAGGAGGAAGTCACCAAAGCAGGCACTGCTTGCTCCAATATGGAACCATCCACCCCTTGGGGGACAGAGCAGAGACATCACCCAAGATCACTCAAGTTGACCCAAGATCACTCAGGAGAGCAGGGACATCACTCAAGAAAGGCCAGGCCACAGGAGAGAGCCACCAAGCACTGCTCTCTGCACAGTCCCCAGGTCGAGGAGGAGGAGGAGGTTGGACAGTGTTTCCAGGGGCTGTTTGGACATGAGCTGGAACAGGAACCATGGGATAACAAAGTGCCTTGGGGAAGGTAAGTCAGAAAATACACAAATGAAGATGGTGAAGGGCCTGGAGGGGAAGACTGAGGGGAGTCTTGAGAGAGACTGGGGGGAGACCTTGTGGTAGTTCCAACTTCCTTGTGAGGGGCAGAGGAGAGGCAGGGACTGAGCTCTGCTCTGTGGGGACCAGGGACAGGACCCCAGGGAATGGCCTGGAATTGTTAGGAGGAGGGTTAGGTTGGATATTAGGAAAAGGTTCTTCCCCCAGAGGCTGGCTGGGCACTGACCAGGCTCCCCCAGGGCAGTGGGCACAGCACCAAGGCTGCCAGAGCTCCAGGAGGGTTTGGATGATCCTCTGGGGCACAGGGGGTGACTCTTGGGGATGGTCCTGTGCTGGGCCAGGAGTTGGACTCGATGACCCTTGTGGGGTCCCTTCCAACTCAGCACATCCTGTGATTCTGTGATATTTTTTTCTGGGTGATGGACCAGGTGAAAGGTGACTTCGAAAATATCCAGCCAGGTTCAGCAGGAGAGCACCAGCACAAGAAGTCAGATCTGCTGAGGAACAGGCCACTGCAACGTGATACACAGGCCTTAAAGACAGCGAGGAGGGAGCCAAAACAATCCCTGCTGATGCCCAGGAAGCTGGCAGGGGAGATGCCAGCCCCGTGCCAACGTGCTGACAGGAGCGGTTCCAACGAAACCGAGGGAAACTCACCCTTCTCCAGCCAAAACTTGACATCTTCTTCCCGGGTGTAAATGGCTTCTTTGGCCTCTGCACACACGTTGTGGATGTGGGAGCTCAGCTGGGCCCCCTTGCTGAAGTTCACGGCCACGTCCATGCTCAGGTGCTCCAGCCCTCGAACCTCCTCGGCCTGACGCACCGTCCTGGGGTTTTTCTGCACGGGGGAAAGAATCAAAGCTTGAATCCCGGGTGCAGTGGGTTATTCCTCATAGCGTGCTGTGATTTCACGCCAACACACGATTAATCTATTTAAGAATTAGCCTTCAGACAGCCAACTCCTTCCTCCTCGTGGCTGAGGCATAGGAGAGGTTCTCAGCTCCCCCTGCCCCA